TTTCTGTTTTCCACTCATGGTCTGCTGTTAGGAGATGTGGTTTTAAAACATCAGCAAATAGTTTCTTCCAACAGGGTTTGATCAGGGTTCCTGATCTATCAATTAGCCCCACATAGGAAAACAAGCCAAATAAATTGGTCTAGAGCATAATCTGAAGTTTTCAAGTAATAGACAGCGGAGTTAAATAGTATATGAGAATTAAATAGACAAAGCTGCACTAACATACTTCTAATAAAAGCAATGGTTTAAGAACATTGGCACATGAGGGACATTGGACAAGGCAGAATAGTACAGATTGGAGGTACGACTTGATGTTCTCTTTCTATAGGTGATGCACGTGGCCCCATCTTTCAGCCTTTAACCTTGACCAAGATGTCGGTTGAGCTTTTGCTGTAACTAAATGTGCTGTCTTTCATCCTGCAGACTTAAATACTGGCTCAGAGCTTAAATGCTTAGCTGTGTTTCTCTCCAGGATGAAGCCACTAAAGTAACTTTTCTTGTGTGTGGCAGAAAAACCCTGAAAACATTGCCTGGCTCAGCTCTCGTTCTGCTGGAGGTTTCTTCCCGTTAAGCTGTTGCTGCATACATGCTCATTGTGAGGGATTGCTGCAAAGTCAGCAACACAATGCAAGTGAATATCTACATGCTTATCCAGAAGTGAATGCTGCAAGTTTGTGATTCAATGCAGTCTAACTGCATTATGTGATCACTGGGACCAGTTGAAATGGAAGTATTTTAATCTGTATGGTTGGATTGGATTGAAATGACTTTATTTGTGGTGCGTTGAGATGTGTTTGTGAATTTGCACTACCTAAATAAACTAAATTGAATTCAATTGAGTCAGTAAATGTTTGTCTTTGTTACGTTGGATCCACAGGGAGTTGTTTCAAGATTTCTTACCCTCTTTAACAGACTTCCCTAAAATTTATGAGGCTCCTGAAATCTTTTTTTTTTTTTCATCTGAAATCAATGTGGAAAAAATGAAATCTTTTTATCTTGTCACATTTTTTCTTTTCTACCAAGAGCCCAAAAAGCTAAATTTTGTTAAAGTGGTGGAAGCTTGTTCAAGAATTTGGAACAAACCATTTTCAGCCACAATCTTTGAGCTTATTGCAAAAAAGAGTCACAAATATAGATATAACAGGGTGCCAAGCTTGAAGCACTTACTTTCATCTCTGGGTTTCGTAATAATAGGTTACACTTACTTCATCAGACAGCATCTTATACTGACACCAAAACGATGGTAATTTTAGAAAAGATTTCACTTTCTGCCTCCTTTATACTGCACTGCTTTAATATTGTCAAATGTTAGTACACAATCTTGTAAAGGCTCCTATTATGTATGTTCTATTTCTGTCATTCATATGTGGATTACACCCTAAGAGACCTCCCCATTCTGTTTTTAAAATGCATTGTTTTCTGTGACTGTCAATCCATTGCTGTTCACTTTCTTGTGTTTTTCTGCCTTGTAATCCATCCATTTTCTGTACACCCTAACACCTTAGTGGGGTCAGCAGGGGTGATGGTGCCCATCTCCAGCGAACATTTCGGGAGAGAGGCGGGGTTCCCCCCCATACAGGTCGTCAGTCTGACCCTTGTAATAAGTTTCGTTATTTTTGTAAACTGTTAAATCAATGGGGCTTTGTAATAGCTGACCCCAGTGCTGGACACTGTTCACTAAAAAGTTAATCATAAACGTTAATCATAACCATTACATGAAAATAGTATTGGAAGCTAATGATAAAGCGCTAAATTCAACTATGTTGATAGCCAACAACAGGGTGACATCCGAAAAAATTAATTTGCGCTAAATGTTTTCAAAGTTAGCAAAAACACTAAACATGAACCCCCCTACTTGCGGATTATCAAAAGTGTGCCCACCACTGGGTGACACACTTTTTTTTTTTAAAAGGTTCGAATTGCAACAAGCTTGAATGACTATGTTAACTTAGTTCTTTTTAATTTGGAAATCAGAATCATTTTATCAATAGTTTGCATTTCAACAGCCTTAGTGCAAAGTCGTAGTTTACAACAGCGTCCTTCAAGACAAGCCAATAAATTCTGCTTTTAAGGGTTAGTCATGCCCGAGTTATAAAACCCCTCAGTATGGTGCACATTTATCTTGCAACATTCTATGTGGTGCTTCTGTTTCACACTTTTATTTTTCAATCTGTGCTCGTTTTGGTTCAGACATCAAAACTTTGGTTACCCACAGGGAAACATCCTGATTCTGGTCTGGTATCAAACACACCATTTGTCATACCTAACTACCAGTTAGAAGGCCTGCTTTTTCCATCTGCACAAAGCCACAGTCTCATGGCTTCTATTTTAGACATCAAATAATGAAGTGTACCAGATGTGTTGAGGAAATTAAGTGAAAGGGGGTAGCCTCTGCCACAAGGCGTCCTGCCTAAACATCTCTATGAGGAGCTGATGGTGAGGGAAACCAGGGTTCCTCAAAATTTAGTGCACATAAGTTTTTTATTTTGTGACAAATGTGCAAGTGGCAGATGTTCTTCTACTGTACGGATCAAAAGTTGGTATATTACGTTTAAAGTATACACGTTAACAGAATATACAAATGGGGAGCAGATGGAGCAAAATGTAAACTTCGTTTTTAAGACGTGAAGTTCACAACCACATAGAAGAGCTGTGTTGCAGAAATATGTGCTGGGGAAAAAAGGGTGTGAGGCAGGAGGAGGTTTTAGAACTGTCAGCTAACACTGGGCTCAGCACAGGCTGTAATCACACTGGTATGACTAAAGCCATTAGTTACCTGTATTGTTCTTTAAAAAGCTCCCAGTATTCCCGGGCCAGCCTCCTTTCAAGCGTGCATGGAGTCCTTAATGTGCCCAAATGTCTTTGCATGCAGCTGAATTCGAGCAGGAACAGAGGGAGCTTATGAGATTTAGATCATGGCTGGAAAGATCTGCCGTTGTGCTGACTTTGAACAAAATCAGGGTAAAAGAAACTGCGGTATTTTAGTACGCAGCTGGACACATGGAGGTACTTATTTACTGTTGTCAGCTGACAGGCTCATAAGTCTTGTTTTAGTGATTTATTTTTATTTGTTAACATCAGCTCAAGGACTTGTGCTGTGTGTGTTGGGAGCAATCACTGGCTACGGCAGATTTTCATTAACGCAACCTAAATTACATAGATGTTAAAAAAAAAAAAATGCCATTAAAAACATTAAATCATCATCAATCATGCCAAACAGTCACGGCTTTTTCCGTTTTTAAACAGTTTTTTAAATTCCCTAGCGTTTTTTTTTTCCCTCCCAAAACTCATTAATTTCGGAGCATTTGAATTACATACAAAACAGTTAGTTGATGAAAACCGTATTTAAGTTGTTCTGAGTTGTAAACAAAAAAACAAAAAAAATGAAAGAAGTTTAATTAAAATAAGGGAACAAAAGATCCCAGAGAGAAAATAAAAAAAGGCAAATTAAGTTTTATATTGTGACCTGGCCTGGTTCTGTCAACATTACCTGGTCTGATGTTTTTCTCACAGGGCCGCCTGCTTTATTAGGAAGTAACTCTTATAAGGAAGCAACCTTAACCTGCCCTGTTTCAAACACAGTAGTTGTAGAAATGGTTGCTCTTACATGAAAATGTGTTTATTCGTATTGAGGACAAAAAAAAATCTTCAATAATTAAATAAGTTTGACTTTATCTCGGCTGTTAATATGGATACTGCCATGCAAGACAAAAAAAAAAACCCATACTGCTGGTATAATAATAGTTGTTGATCATTATAGTCATTTTGTATGAACAACATATATTATTTAAATTGGCAAAACCAGATGTCGGTGAATTATAAATATTTGGATTAGTATCCACTAAATCAAGAAGCTGTTTTCTAACAAATGTTTATTTTGAAGAATATTTTATTCTTTTTTTTTTTAACTCTTCTTCATATGCCCATCTGACATTACTTGTAAATTATTTGAGCTACCTGCTCAGGTAGCCAGTCTGAACATTTTTTTAAAAACTGCAATATTTCTTGCCAGTCATCTCAGAAAGTGAAAAATCACATCCGGTCATATATTCTAAGCCTTTGTTTCTTGTAATATTCACAGTTATGGTTTACAGATAATGAAAACCCAAATTCAATGTTTCAGAAAATGAGAATACTGTGACAAAGGTCATTAATAGAAACTCCTGGTGTCACAGCCTAATTGGCTAATTAACTCAAAACACCTGCAAAGGTTTTGTGCTGCTTTACACAGTCTCTCACTCTGGGTCAGTTGGCTACACAATCATGGGGAAGCCTGCTGATTGGACAGGTGTCCAGAAGACAGTCATCGACACCCTTCACAAGCAGGGTAAACCACAAAAGGTAATTGCTAAAGAAGCTGGTTGTTCATGGAGTTATATATCCAAGCATTTTAGCAGAACATTTTGGTAGGTAAAGATGCAACATCAACAGGGAGGACTTGAGTTCTTAAGCAAAATCCAGTCCAGACCATCCACCACACACACAGACCAGTACTAGACATGGGCTAAAAATGTGGCATTCTCAGTGTCAAGCCATTCCTGAACCAGAGAGATGATACCATCTGGGTAAGCAGAAAAGGAACTGGACCGTTGCACAATACTCCAGAGTCCTGCTTTTAGATGAAAGTAAAGTTCTACAATTTAATTAGGGAATTAAGGTATTTTTGTTTCAAGGATAACCCCTTGAGATATATAATCTCATTTTCAAGGGGGGCCTTACAAAACTTAAAATAAAAGAGGAAGATGAGACAAGAGGATGCTGCCTAATAAACTTTAGAGTGCATAGAAATGTACATGCTTTTCAGAAGCCTGACATTCGTGCTTAAAACATTGTTTTTCATTGGTCGAATGTGATATTTTGATTTTCTGAGAGTGAATTTTGGGTTTCCTTTGCACCTCAAAGTCATAAACATTAAAAATGCAAAACAATAAAATGAAAGCTCGAAATATTTTACTCGAATTCGGTTGGTTTGCAATTTTCTTCCTTTTATTTTTCTTTAGAAAACAAGAGAAAGAGGAGAGAAAAAGCCCAAACTTGGATAAGAACCAGCACTAATATTAAGGGAATTCTCCAGAGTGGTGTCGGCACTCAGATCTTAACACGCAGAAAACAGAGCATGACTGGTAAGACTGTTTCAGAGATGAATCATTGATCTATGGTTCTCTTCCTTATTTTCAGAGGAATTGGCAGTGAAAGATATTGACGAGCATCATCGGCATTTAAATGACAAAACAAGCGTGTTTCTCTGAATTTCGCTGAGACAGCAGGGAGGAGGGGGGAGGCAAATCGTAACTCGGGCATTCTGTCCTGCTGTTAAGCACTAAGACTCACCATCCAGTGAGGATTGGAAGGAAAACCCGGCTTGTCTCCAAACTTGTTAAACACATAAATGGTGTTAACATGCTTTGTTCCATTGCACAGCCCCCCACCCTGTGCCTACACCTCCACACACCCCTCCTCCAACCCTATATCCAAACACTCCCCCTTTTCAAAGTTGAGTAAACCTGCCGAGAAGCGAGCGGAGGAAGCTTAGCCCTGATTTCAGTGCGGTGGAGGAGCCAGAGGACCCAGGGGACACTCAGGTTACCAGCATTGAATCCTGCAGTATTAGCAGGGCACGGGGAAATAACAACCTGCCATCTGGAACCTATGTTAAAGCCATCCTAGCCTTGCAGCATTCAATCACACTGACCTCAATTAAGTGTTATTTGTTTAGTATTTATATTCTCTTCTCCCATTGCCTGCAGAGCTTTCTGTTCCTTGTTGTATCGGATGCCTTAACGTGCTTTGTCAGATCCTGAGTGAGATTTTGTTAGGGGGGTCTCCTATTCTTTATGAGGTTTTTATTAAACTTAAAACAATTGTACATTTGAAGAGGTCTGAGGAAGAGAGCACCTTAAGTGCAGCACATAAAGGCTACCTTTGTGTTTGAGTGACATTGGATAGTTTGGTAGATTAAAATTTGAGCTTTTTTTCCCCGTTTTTCCTCATGACTCAACATTGCTTTTTTCTTTTGACCCCACTTAAACAGGAGACAATGACTGCACTTAACTAGGTCATCCTTCCTTTGAACCTTCAGGCTCCACACTTGCTCTAAAGGGGAACGTTATTTTGCGGTTTCTCATTTTTGCCGTGCAAAAGGTTGATGGATATATTTTTATATATTGGATGTAAATGTTTTTAGATTTGGTTTGCTTTACTTTTTTTAAAATTAAAGCTGGTGGAGGTAATGTTTATTAAAGAAAAAATATGTTTTTTTTACATTGTCATCTTTCTAAAATAATGCTCTAAGTTTGTCTAAAGAGATTTTTGCCAAAAAGTAACGACCTCTTTCTTTCCAGAAGATGTTCTAGGCAAAAAAAAATCACTTTTGAGAAAAAAAACTTTATTTTAGGAAGACCATTATTGATCAGTGCATACTTAAAAGTGAACAATACCAAGACCCTCATCCTGGCTGTGATTGTTTTTTTTTTGTTTTGTTTTTTTTTTCTGACGAAGCTGTGTATTTCTGCTGATGGCAATAAGACCACAAGAAAGAGGCAGAGGATATAATTTTTATTATAATTATTTCTAAAACTGTCAGGACATAGTGACAGTTCTAATAAATGTGTATAGAACACACTTTTATAAAACTTTCATACTACACTGTAGTATGAATCAGGAACCTGTGTTCCAGATAGGTTCTTAAAACTTTTTTTACTGTTAATTTGCTTGGAATTTGAAACCTTAGCTTCACAAAAAATGTAAGGATGAAGAAGTCAGAGATCTAATGGCTAATTTTTGATCACTCATTAAATAAAATCTGTTTTGCAAAATGTTTACAATTTTAACATAAAATCAAATTTTTCCTCAAAAACATCCCAAACTGACAGAACTCTCTGTCTCTGCATCACTGAACAAGTGCAGCAAAATCCTTGTAGTTGTGGAGTAGAGGTATTTCTACAAAAGAAAAAAAACTGAAAAGAACTAAAGAATATTGCTTCCGGCTTCCTCCCAGAGTCCAAAAATATGACTGAGTTAATTAGTCTCTCTAACGTGCCCTGAAGTATCAGTGTGTGTGTGTGTGTGCGTGCGCGTGCACACGCATGATTGTTTGTCCTGTGTCGCCCTGTGATTGACTGACGACTTGTTCAATGTCTGCTGGAGATAGGCACCAGCCCTCACATTACTCTTGGATTTATCCATTTATTAGATGGATGGATCGATGAATTATAAAATGAATAACATGTCCAACCTAATATTTGAGAGGAAAAAGCACTGATTTACTACTATGCTTTAGGTTGTTAAATCATTCATTAATTTATTGCAACAGTACTGAAGCCTTAAGCAACTTCCTGTCACTGATCATTAAACATTTAAACGTCAGTCTGTATGTTTGAATTCCCTGTAGAATATTTGGATTAATATTTTAATTGTGAGATTGTCAAATGTGTCCTTATCTAGAATTAGCTAGAGCCAGCCATACTTCCCCCCCCAGCAGCTGTCTGGAAGGAATTCAGCAGCAATAAACATCTTTTTGCTTGGACTGGATTTGAATCGCTGCAGTTATTATGTTAAACAGATAACATCTGCCTGCAACCAACATCAGGGGGCTTAAGAAGAGTAAGTAGAAGAAGTGCATTCCTAAAACAAATTGAACAGTTTGAACCTACTGGTGCTGCTTTTTCTTTAGAATCTTTGACAAGTTTATCGCACATTTTTTAACGATTGTTTCTTCTCTGCTTGCATTCAGTCTTGCTTGAAGAAGCATTTTTGTGACAGAAATGGGGATATAGACGACTGGGGAAAAAAACGACAGACGTGTGTGTCGTCTGCCTGTTGTTTGTTGTTTGACTCCAAGCCTGCGGATTCACAAAGGCAAGTATATCCCTGTTGGACCCGAGTCGTCTTCACTCACACTTCGTCTATGCTGGTGTTCCAGACGGTGCATATCTAGTGCTTAGACATGATGCATTTGTTTTAGTTTTCGACTGGCCAAGCACAAAATCAGCCGAGTAATTGGTGTATTGTATTTGAAATGAAGACTGAAAGTTGGCACAGAATTTACACCCGTATAAATTACTACACATTGAATGTTTTGCTTTTTAAAGAATTTGTCAGAGGTTTTACTTCTAAAGTACGCCAACAACTCTGAATTATATTTATCTTTTACAATCTGCCTGGTGGTCAGTACTTGTGTTTTAAACCCAACATGGGACAACTGGACGATCGGTTTTCAATAGCCGTATTACCCTCATAGTTATTGCACTTTGAGAAAAGAAAAAAGTCAATTTTTATAGCAGTAGATTCCCCTTAACTATGTAAAAATTAGACATGGTATCACCAGCAGCAGTAGCTGGATTCCTGACAGGTTTTGCTGAGGTTGGCAGCGTTTAAACTAGGATGCCCAGAGGGACGTTTCTGTCCATCTCATTCTTTAATAATGGTAATAAAGTCTTACCTCTGACTCGACTTTGATTATGCAAGTGCAAGTCTGTTTCTAATGAAAATAAACCTTAAATCTAAAGCTGTTAAAAATGTACATTTCTCTTTAAATGGCACATAGACATGACAAATTAAAATCAAAAATTGCAATCTCTATGATCATTGTGGTTACTTAAGCAACAGCAACGTCTCTTTGGTGCAAAACGTCATAAAAAGGCTCAATTAATTGTATTTTGTAACAAAACTTATCCTCTCTACTTGCTGCAGTGTCACATAACCCTACTTTTACGTGAGGGTTTAAATTCTTGAGTTTAGCTGCTGCAGTTTTTCTTTATTTCTTTTTACAAAAATCCTATCTGCACCTGTGGTAATGAATTAATGAGTCTGTTGACAAGTGTGGCGGCGGCGGGACGGGGTGGCTCTCAGTGAGGCGTGCGTTCAGCAACAGAAGACGGGAACGCAACATGAGACTTTACATTTCAGTTTACTAATAATGACCACTCTATTCATCAAATGCACCCCCACGGCTAAAAGATGTGAGAAGTGTACATTATACACCTTGTGCTACAATGGTGATATTTACCAAAGGAAAAAAAAAACAAAACAGTCTAGCTTGGAAATAACCTGAATGAAAACAACAGTTTTATTCATAAAACCTAATTTTAAAAAAAATAAATAATCTTGTCGTGATTTAACCTCAGAGTAATTTAGGGAGCATTTCATGTGATAGAGCAAGAAAAGATGGAATAAAAGAACTAGTTTTTAAGATTTTTGTATTTTGTATAAACCAAAAACTATAAAGGGTGATTTTATTTAGTGGTTTCAGAATAAAGACGACTGACTACAAAGCGAGAACTATTTTGCATCAGGGTGTCAACATTAGTTTGAGAGCAAATTTGACAGAAAATTTTAGAAAGTTTGAAAAATATCTTTTGAGAAATGTCTCAAAGTTTTGCTTTTTTTTTTTTGCAAAAGTGATTCTACATATTATTCGCTCAAGTGAGGCTGAATATATTGTCACATTTTTGCTTTTCTTTTTGTAAATAATTTATTAAGTTACTTACTAGTTTGTGTTGTACTATCAAATAAAATTTGGAACAAATTGTAAAACATATTTCAAAGAATACTTTTGTGAGGCTTTGTAAATGAGAATTAAAATCAGAGTTAGCAGAAGAAAACAACTGAATGATGATTAATATTTTCTGTAGTGCATGAAAAACATGCCATAAATTACTTTTCTTTGCAACTACTTCCAGCCACATGCATAATGTTTTTGTAAGGTTTAATCATTCAGATTTCCAGGTTTTATGCTTTTCAGGTTTAATTCTTCCTCCCTCGTGAGAATAACATTTTGGCTCCAGAGGTTTCTTTTCCTTCTCTTTATGCAGGCAAAATATGCAAAAACTGTAAAAATGGAAAGATGAAGCCTATTAGGAAGGAATGAAATAGCTTTTTAAAAGCCATGCTGATAAACTGGTGGGGAAATTGGTAAAAGCTTTAACCCTTAAAACAGTTGACATTGTTTCTCTTTTCCTTTCCTCTATTTTATTTTTTATTCATTTCCTCGTGAGTGGTTTTAATTTTTTTGTATATCACAGCACCAACATCTCACCGCGAAGTATTTTTTTTTTTTTTAAAAAAGAACATTTCAAACTCTCACACTTATTTTGCAGCCTTCTGTGATTATTGTACATTGGTC